AGAGAGAGAGAGAGAGAGAGAGAGAGACAGAGAGAGACAGAGACAGAGAGAGAGACAGAGAGAGAGACAGAGAGAGAGAGAGACAGAGAGAGAGAGACAGAGAGAGAGAGAGGGAGGGAGGCTGGGCATGGTAGCTACTCCTGTAGTCCCAGCACTGGGGAGGCTGAGGCAGGAGGATCACCATGAGCTCCAGGCCAAACTGGGCTACATAATGAGTTCAAGGCCAGTCTGAACTGCATAGCAAGATGTTGTCTCAGGAAAAAAAAAATGGCTAAAGAGGGACATGTGAAATGTTGTCATTACATATATACAAAATGAACAGGTTAGGGAGGTGATTTGATAGGTTAATTAGCTCATCTGTCCTTCCACGATGTAAACACACATCAAAACATTCTTTTGGCTGGGTGTGGTGACACACAGGTCTATACTTCCAGAATGTGGGAGCTGGGGCAGGGAGACCACAAGTTTGAAGCCAGCTTAGGCAATTTAGCGAGATCCAGTCTCAAACAAAACAATAACAGCGAAATATCAATTTGTATCCCTTAAGTATACCCAATCCTTTTTAGTTTAGTTTAGTTTTTTTTGAGACAAGGTTTCACTATGTAGTCCAGGCTGGCCTTGAACTCACTAGGTAGCCCAGGTTGCCCTGGAACTCGCGGTGATCCTTCCGCCTCAGGGATGACAGGTGTATGTCAACACTCCCAGCCCAAATATATACACTTCTTGTTTTGGGGGTGGGGTGGGGGTGATACCGGATCAAACTCAGAACCTTGCGCTTGCAAGGCAGGCACGGTGCCACTGAGCTAAATCCCCAGCCCTCCAAATATATACAATTCTTATTTGTCAATTAAAAATAAAATTGGTAAAAATCGTCAGAAAGAAAATAAGCCAGGCGTGTTGGCGCACGCCTGTCATCCCAGTACTCTGGGAAGCTGAGGATCGCAAGTCCGAGCCTTAGGGAGACCCTATCTGAAAACACAAAAGTAAAAAAAGGGCTGGGGTTGGAGCTCAGTGCAAAACTTTGGGTTCAATCCCCGGTACCACCAAAAAGGAGAAGTCTGGTGTGCGCGCGCAGGTACCTAGACCCACTGTGCCTCCCCCCGTCCCCCAGCAGTATTTGGGCCGGGGAGGCCAAGGAAGCCGTCCAGGCTGTGGCCCCGGAGGCGGCCGGCAGAGGGCAGCAGGGAAGGAGGCCTCCCCCCACAAGCTCCGCCCACCCTCCCCGCCCCGCGTAGGGACCCAGCAGCCGCGGGCGGGTAGGGTGCGGGCGGTGGCAGCAGGTGGGCGGGTGCGGGATCCGGAGTGGGTGCGACGGGCCCGGGGTTGCGGGCTGCGCTCGGGCCGCGGCGGCGGTGCGTGCGTGTCTGCGGCGGGCGGGCCATGGACTTCAACATGAAGAAGCTGGCGTCCGACGCGGGCATCTTCTTCACTCGCGCCGTGCAGGTGAGGCCTGGCGCCGGGGCCCGGATGTGGGCGCGGCGGGCGCCCTGGGCCGTGGCGGGCGGGGTGGGGGGGGCACGGGGACCCCGCTCTGCCGCCGCCGCCTTGCCGGACGCCCTGCACTTTGGGTCGCTGCGGGATTGGGGAGTTGGGGTGGGGGCGCCCCGGGCTCCCGCTACCTCTGCGTGTCCCAGGTTCTGTGCCGCGCGGGAGGAGAGGTGCGGCGCCCGCATCGGGCAGCCCGGGGACCCGAGGGCTCGGCATCCGCCTCCCTGCCCTTGCCCAGCAGCGATCCCAGCAGCGATCCCAGCAGCGATCCCAGCCCCGCCGGACGTTTGGAAGCCTGGGTCCCAGGCCCAGAGCCCGCACATCTGGCACAGCCCCTTCCCGGACCCTCAGTCTCCCCGCCCGTACAATGGGCAGGGGTCCAGGGCTGCCAAGGCCCCTTTTGCACGCTTGGGTGGTTGGACCGGAAGCCAGGAGTTATTTCCTTTCTGCTCCAGGCAGGCCTGTTTCCTCTCCTTCCCTAGGAGTGGGGGGAGAGGGCGCCCTCCGCGGGCAGCTGCCCAGACCCTAATCTGAGATGGGAACGAGTCCATCCATTTGGGGTCACAGGGAAGAAACTGAAGGGGCTTAATGGCACCGCAAAGACCTGAGTCAGATACGGAGTGCTGCGCCTCCACCGCAGTGACCTTGGGGGAGGGAAGGCTCCGTGCTGGGTCTCAGTTTTCCCATCTGAGAAGTGGGGCGAACGTACCCCCCTGGGGTGGACGTGAGGATCTTCGGGACTTGGCACACAGTGCTCAGCACAAGCAGGCTCCTGGTGGGTGTCGCTGTGGGTGACACGGCTCCTGTGCCACATGTGACCTTGGCCTCAGTCTGCCCTTCTGGGAAGGAGGTGTGAGGCCGCGCCGGCTCTGCCTACCGACCGACCGGTGCTGTTGTTGCTGACTCCGGAGGAGCCCAGCCCCAGCTCCTCAGAAGCCCAGGTGGCCGTGTTTACTAGAAAGCACAGTGGCCCCTGGAGGGTGAGTGTCTGGAGAGAGGCTCCCTCAGAGAGACTCCCTGCTCCGTGTTCTGAGCCTGAGAGGTGGGGACCCCAGAGCCCAGTCCAGCTGGGCAGTGGGGAGCCCTCCTGCTTGGTATGGCAACTGCTTATCTCCGTCTCGAACATCAAATCTGAGAAGAACCTGATCTGCCACTTTCCTGCTGCTGCCAGGGCCCTGCCACCCGACCTGGCCTGGGCCTTGGCCTTGCCCGGTCTGGCGGGGCACAAGCCCCAGGGTGCCCTGGAGGACGGAGCTTGGGTGGAGGAGGGAGCTGGGCACCTTATAAATAGAGGCTCTCTGCTCCGACGCCCACCCCCTGCTGCTGCCACCGCCTTGCTGGAAGCAGTGTGGAGTCAAGCACCAGGAAGGGAACAAGGCTGCCACCGAAGAGATAGGGGCCTGGAATGTGGCCCTACAGGAGGGGGAGAGGGAACGGGACACACCTGCCTAGGCCAAGGTGTGCTGGGACAGGAGTGAAGCAGGAGGCAGGAGGGCGAGGAGGGGTTCTTTAGTCCTTTTTTTTTTTTTGAGACCGGGTCTCATTATGTAGCCAGGCTGGCCTTGAACTTGGTGGCGATCCTGCTGCCACAGCCTCCCTAGTGCTGGGGTCACAGGTGTGCGCCACCACGCCCAGCTGGGGTTCTTTAGTATCACTCAGCCCTTCTTTCGGGTCGGTGCTGTTGTGCCAGGCACCAGAAAGTCCTGAGTAAACACCCAGCCCGCACATCCCAGGGACAACATGAAGCCTTCACCGAACTCTGTCCCTCAGGGACCAGGCCTTGGTGCTTCCTGGAGGCCCCGGAGGGCAGGTTGCCTTTGGATTCTAAGTGGCTTCCCACATGGAGGCCCGAAGTTGGGCCTGGAAAGTAGAAAGGGGCTTGCGAAGTGGGCCCAGGCAGGGCTTTCCAGGTGCAAGGCAAGAAAACCTAAAGCACGTTTAGCTAAGACACTGTGGGGTAGGAGTGGGCAGCCATGGCACCGTTGGCAGGCGTGGCAGGCGTCGTGTTGCTAGAAGTGGGAGAGGCACAGTACCAGCAGGAAGAGCGAGAAGAGGGTAGCTTCAGGAGCCAGAGACAGACCTGCGGGCAGCCTTTCCCAGGTGACGGTGACACCAGCTGCCATCTCTCCAGCCCAGGGCCCGGGTGCAGCTCCATTGTGAGCTCTCACCAGCACGAGTGAGGCCCTGGCTTCCATCCCCAGCCCTGAAAAGAAAAAACAAAAACCACTGATCCTGCCCAAAGGGAAATCCATGAGCAGTATTTCATGAGATGGGTTATCCACATCCTTAAGGGGGAAACTGAGGACAGAGAAGCATCTGGAATGTGGGGTTGGGTCCCCAGGGAGAGATGGCCCGAGACACCCCTTGCTCCCCAGTTTGGGGACTATGAGGAAGAGGAGGAAGCAGGCCCCAGCCGACCCCTCAGGGAGAAATCTGAGCCCAGCCTGCTACATAATTGATGCCTCCAGGCCGGGTGGTGGAGTGGCTCCTCTGCCCCACAGCCTCCTGATGACTCATCACTGCCTAGGCTCTGCCTCTCTGAAGGTCCAGCCCCCATGGCACTGGCCCTGCTCAGCCTCAGTGGCCATATCCCAGAAATGGGACAGGGGACCCTCTGCTTTTGGAAGTCCTTGAGGCCCTGGGTGTGACGCCCCAGTGCAGGCCAGTCACGGGACCCTTATTACACCTTATCTTACACCTGAAGGTCCTCATGCTTGTTTGGCTGTGATCTTGGGTGAACCCGGTTCCCTGGCTGGCAAAGGCTGTCCCTGTTTGACAAATGGGGACATTTGTCCCAAGGCTCTACTAGGTCAGAGGGACCAGGATTTGGGGCCATTTCTAATTGTTCTAGATGGCCTTCACAGCTCCTGAGGGCACCCCCAGCTCACTCAGCCAGGCTGGCTGTGTTCCCCACACACACCGGTGGCCAGGCGCTGAACCCTCTCCGCCACACTCCTTGTCCCCCCAGGCTCCTGCCCAGGATCTTGAGCAGTAGTCCCACCTCACATGCAGCTGGGGCTCCCTGCTGCCCACAGAGCCCCTGATATCCTGGATCTCTTGCTACCAGCTCCTGTCCGTGTCTTCCCACAGGCCCCTGGAGGCTCCCGGCTGCCGGACAGGGCATGGGGGGAGAGGCGGGGCTGCCCTGGATTTCAGAGAGGCCGTGACCCCCCCAGACTCGGGTCCACCTACTTCCACGGAGGGCAGTTGGAGACCCAGAGGGGCTGTACCTTGGTGGCCCCAGGAAGGTCCTTGACCCCAGGCCTGGCTCCTCACCCCCACCCACAGTTCACCGAAGAGAAGTTTGGCCAGGCTGAGAAGACTGAGCTCGATGCCCACTTTGAAAACCTCCTGGTGCGGGCGGACAGCACCAAGAACTGGACAGAGCGGATCCTTCGGCAGACGGAGGTGCTGCTGCAGCCCAACCCCAGTGAGTGGTGGCAGTGGGGACACGGTCACACCGGGTCAGGCTGTGGGACGCCGAGGGCTGCGGAAACAGGAGGCCCCATGCTGGGCCCAGGTGCTCCCAGAGCGGTGGAAATGCTGGGTCTTGCACAGAGGAGGTGAAGTGCCTGGAAACCCAGGGAGAGAGGCAGGCACGACAGATCCTGCCACGTGGGCGGCCTGGTGTCACCTGGCCAGCATGGGGCACACAAGGACCAAGGCCATCGCGTGTCCACCTGTCACTCTGCCCTATGACTACTGATGGGGCCCAGGGGCTTCTGGGACCAAGAGCAGAGTTGTCAGACATGCATTATCTTCTGTAAATCCTGTCCGTATAGGGGAGGTGGGAAGCCCTGACTTTGGCTTGGTCTCACACACACAGCAGCTGTGAGACCTCAGGCAGGCATTTGTGTCTCTGAGCCTTGGCTTCCTCCCCTGTGGGGTGAGGGGCTAACAGAACCAGCCTCACAGGGTGAAGGTGGGCGCAGGTGAGCTGATTCTGGGAGTCACCAGGCTAGGCATTCCTGGGTGTGGACTGGAGGGCCCTGTGGCTTTGGGTGCTGTCTCCCGCAGGTGCCCGTGTGGAGGAGTTCCTCTATGAGAAGCTGGACAGGAAGGTGCCCTCGAGGGTCACCAATGGGGAGCTGCTGGCCCAGTACATGGCCGAGGCAGCCGGCGAGCTGGGGCCCACCACGCCCTATGGTGAGCAGCTGCACACCGGGCTGGGGTCTGGGGCCTGCCCCGAATTTCCCTCTCCCTCTCTTTCTCCTTCCTTCCTTCCTCCTCTTCCCATCCCTCTCTTCCTTCTTCCCAATAATACCTGAATTCATTCTAACTGTAAAACTCTCCATCACTGCAGAAAATAATTGAGCAGGGCCAGGGATTTAGCTCAGTGGTTCCGCCGCCTGCCTCACAAGCACAAGGTTCTGAGTTTGATCCCTGGTACAAAAAAAAAAAGAAATTTGTCTTTCTTGAACATTTCCTATAAATGGAATCATTATGTGCTGTCTTTTGTATCTGGCTTCTTTCACCTAGCATAATATTTGAGGGGGGAGTTTGAGACAGAGTCTCACTACGCAGTCCAGGCTGGCCTTAAACTCATGTGATCCTCCTGCTTCAGCCTGCCAGTGCTGGAATTACAGGCACGTGCCACACCTATAAACAAAAAAAAAATCCATTCTGACAAGCATTACCATTTTTTTCTGTTTTGTTTTTTGAGAAGGTCTTGCTGTGTAGTTCAGGCTGGCCTCAAGGGGGTCCTCTTGCCTCGGCCTCCCTAGTGCTGGGATTATAGGCATGCACCACCACAGCCAGCCGAAGCACTGTCTTTTGATTGGAGTGCTAATCCATTTAATGCAGTCCTTGATGTGGCTGGATTAACGTGTGTACTTTGCTATTGTTTTCTTTAGCAATTAGAAGTCATTTTTTTTTCTGGTTTCACCTTTATTGTCTTTTGTGCTATAGATATTTTCTAGTGTAACATTTAAATTTCTTTGTTGCTTTAACTTTAAAAAAGTTTTCTTAGTGGTTATTCTAGGGATTATAGTATGGATCTTAACTTATTACAGTCTACTTCTGAGTCATGCTGATTAACTTCTAGTAAAATATGGAAACTGCTTCAGTACAACTACATTCCCTCTCCCTTTCTTTGCACTGTTACTGTCGTCTCTATGTTAGGAACCCAACAAGTTTTATAACTCTCCTTTCATGCAGTCATCTTAGACCAGTTAAGAGAAAAATCTATTTTCTTGTATGTTTAACTGTAATTAATTGCTCTTTTTGGATTCAGGTTATATCTGATGTCATTGCCTTTGAACTTGAAGAATTTTTTGTATGCCAAGAATGCTATCAAGAAATTCTTTTAGTCTTTATCTAGGAACCACTTTATTCACTTCTGGAGGGTCACTTTTTCCTAAATAGAATTCTTTTGGGAATGAATCATTTTACTGTTGCCAGATTCAAGGGTTTTTGTCTTTGTCTTGCAATAATTTGTGAGATCCCAACTGTGGACTTCTTTATGCCCCTCCCCCCCATTTAGAGTCTTGAATTTCTTAGATATGTAGATTCATGTTTTCCATCAAATTCAGAATGTTTGGGCCACTGTTTCTTCAATACTTTTTCTGCCCTTTTCTCTTCTCTCCTGAGACTCCTGGTTCACTTGCTGGTGTTCCCTGGGTTGCTGGTGAAAGGCTCTATTCACTTTTCTGTTTTCTTTCTGTTCTTCAGTCGTTTCTCTTTTCTGTTTTTTTCCACTGAGTAATCTCTATTGCTGTATCGTCAAAGTGGCTGATTTTTTTCCTTCTGTCAGTTCAGATGTGTACTGTTAAGTCCCTCTAGTGAATTTTTCATTTCAGTTATTATACTTTTCAACTTTAGGGTTTTCTTTGGTTAAGTTTCTCTCTCTTTACCGATGTTCTTTATCTGATGAGTCATTGCCATCATGCTTTCTTTTAATTCTTTCACTATGGCACCTGTTGATTCCTTTTTTTCCCGTGTATGGACCACACTTTCTTGCATCTTTCTGTGTCTCATCATTCTATTTTGCAGTTCTAGAGATAGAACCCAGGGTGTCGTGTGTGCTGAGCAAGTGCTCTACTACTGAGCTACGTCCCCAGCCCAGTGTTTGTATTTTATTTTATTTTTAAATTTTTTTTTGGTACCGGGGTTCGAACTCGGGTCCTTGTGCTCGCACAGCAGACGGCAAAACCACTGAGCTAAATCCCCAGCCCTATATTTTATTTTGAGACAAGTTCTGGCTAAGGTGCCTAAGCTGGGTTCAAACTTGAGTTTCTTTTCCCTCAGGTTCCTGAGTAGCTGGGATTACAGGCCCGGCTGAAATGTGGACATCTTAGATAATACAGCAGCTCTGCATTCTGATCTCCCTGCCTGGGGGCTGTTACTGCCCTGTGTGTTTGTTTAGAGACTTGTCTGAGCTAAGTGTTTATAGAATCTGTGTCTCCTGCCAGGTGCAGCTACTAAGGTTTCTCTCCCACCCTCCTTTTAACAATTACTCTTCATTTTCATCCTGAGCTTCCGAAGGGCTCTTCTGGTCCCCGCACATTAGCGGTCAGCCAGTGAATGATCAGCGCTTGTGCTTAAGTGTCAATGGTGAGGAGAGATGGGGACCAGTCCACATTTAGGCAGCTTCTTTGTCTCCCCAGTGCTCACACCCATGCCGGCTCCTTCCTTCCTGGGCCTGTTTTCTTTCTGGCAGGCCCGTGGCAGCCTGTGTTCCAGCCCCAGGCTGGCTGCTGTGTTGCTTTTCCCAGCTCTGTGCCATCAAGATTGCTGCTGTTTTCAGTAGTGTCCTGAGGGTTTTTTTGTGTTTCCACCAATCAAGTCAGCCCCCTCTGGCAGCAGAGCTGGGCCTTGTCGCCTCGCCGCTCTGGAGAGCCACACAGCCACAGACCATGAGCAGCCAGCAGCATCCCCAGGCCTCAGTGTCACCCTTGTGGTCCCTACCAAGATCAGCATGCATGCCTTGCAATGTGTTTCCTGCCTTTGGTCAATTTTCAGTCTGGAAATGTATGGTTTTGGCAGTTGGATGCAGTTAATGGTGCTTTTAGGGGAGAGGATTTGTTCAGCTCTTTTCTCTGTCATTCTGGAAGTACCCCCAGTCTTTCTAAGATAGAACCTAGGGCCTCATGCACACTAGTGGCTACAGCATTTCATCTTTGGGGTGTCCCCAGTTGTCCATTGGTGGGTTTCTTCCGGAGCTCTGCCCTGACCCTGCCCCACTTTGGCTCTGTTCCCCAGGGAAGACACTCCTCAAGGTGTCGGAAGCTGAGAAGCGCCTGGGAGCTGCAGAGAGGGACTTCATCCACACAGCTTCCGTCAGCTTCCTCACGCCCCTACGCAACTTCCTGGAAGGGGACTGGAAGACAATTTCGGTGAGGGGCCCTCAGCCTGTGCAGGGGCCTGAGACTCTGGGGCCTTCCTCCCTGGAGTGGCTCCTGCAGACAGTAACCTGGGGAGAGCTCCTGCCTCCGGGGCTCAGTTTCCCTATCTTGACCAGACAGCCCTGGGACCAGCCAGGGCCTCACTGTCCCCCTTGCCCTCTCTGCAGAAGGAGAGGCGGCTGCTGCAGAACCGGCGTCTGGACCTGGACGCCTGCAAAGCGAGGCTGAAGAAGGCCAAGGCCGCAGAAGCCAAAGCCACAGTAGGTGTCCCCTGCAGCCTGCTGGCCCGGGCTCTGGCTGGAGCTGAGGGTTGGGGCCCACATGGGGACCTGTGTTCGCCATGACCTCTGTCCCCTCTTCCTGGCTGGGAGGCTTGGCCGGGGCTGGACTGAGCTGGCCAGTCATGTCTGAGTCCCCACCTCCGAGGGAGCCCTGGTGGCCCCAGGGCAGACAGCTGGGGTTTCTTGCATGCCCTTGCTCACCTCCCTGGATGCTCTGCCTGGGCATGGCTCCTCTACTAACCCTCCCTGCCGCCTGAGCTGTGGGCCTGGGAGCCCTGTGCTGGGACTCCCCTGCGAGGGTGTGGAGAACACGTGCTGTGCCCACCCACTCGGGGCTGTCTGTGCCTGGGGCCTGTGCCGTTGCTCCCCTGCTCCACCAGGCCAGTGGCACACTTGTGGGCTGCCTTGGCCGGATTAGGGTGAGAGTGGGCAAGCTCGCCCCTGCATGCCAGTGCTCCTCGGGGTGCAGGGCCCATGGAGGGGACTCCCAGCCCCGGGCCTGCTTGGGGACCACCACCTGTGTGTCACAGGCTTGGCCCAGAAAGGCCAGCCAGCCCTGTGAGCTCAAGTGGGCTCCTAGTTGCCATGGCCCTCGAGATCCCCTCTTGCATGGAGCCCTGGTGCCATAGCTGGGCCTGAACGGCCTCCGGCAAGAGCCATGGCAGAGTCTCAGCTTCCCCGGACCGGTGGCCAGGGAACCTGGGGCTTAGGGATGAGTCACCTGGGCAGGACAGTCTCTCTGCTCCATCAGCCAGGCCCGGCACCCTTTTTTTGAGATGGGTCTTGCTATGGAGTCACAGGCATGTGCTGCCACGCCTGGCAGGGGTGCCCTTTGTTACTCAACTGCAGTGACCCCACACCCCTCCCCCACCACGGTCCAGTTTAGGTCAGGCAGGAACAGTGTCCCCGACCTCAGCGACCCTGGACCCCAGCTCCGCCCTTTCCCCACACGCGCTGCCCCTCCTGCGCGTCCTAGCGTCCCGCCTGCCCCGAGCTCTGGACTCACTAACTCTCTGTTTCTGTTCCTTCCGTCCTGCTTTGGGTAACTTGGCTCAGTGTGAGGGAGATGTGAGTATACCTGTCCGCGTGCTGTGCTGCTTCTGGTCCACACGGCCAGTCCAGGGTGTGTCCTTAGGTGGTTTGCAAGCAGCTGCGCTCAGCTCCTCTGGACTGAGTCCCATGCTCCTGGCTCCGGGGCACAGGCGTGGAGCCTGCAGGCAGCTTTTTGCAAACGTGGAATGCCTGTCACTCTGTCCATCCATGCATCCATCTGTCACCCTCGTGGGGGGAGGGCCTGGCCCTCGATGCAGGAGCCACAGACAAGGTGTGCAGAGGCTCTGGGGTGGGGTGCTGTGGCAGGTGGGTCATGGGGAACTGTGGGCCTGGCCTGACTGGGGCCTTGGAGTGTGCCAGGGTTCGGGGGGCGGGGGGGGGGCGGGCTGTGGCTCACTTGGAGGAAGGGCTGTGACAGCAGCCACAGCCACCTTCTTGGGCTCCCCAGCACATCCACCTGGGTCACTGGATTCACCGGCCTGGCTCCTCATCTCCGGCTGCTGGAAGTGGGCACGAGCGGGCCTGTGGTATTTCTGTCTGTGCCCTCCTATCCCTGGGGCAGGGCCCTCTGGCACTTGTAGGGCAGCCTCCTGGCCTCCATCCGGCCCTGGCCCAGGATGACCCCTCCCCCCATGAACTCTGTTCCCCGCCAGACGGTGCCTGACTTTCAGGAGACTAGACCGCGTAATTACATTCTCTCGGCCAGCGCCTCCGCGGTAAGCGCCCCACACCCCACCCCACCCCAGCTCTCCCCCAGCCCTGCTGGACCTGACCATGCAGGGTGCAGGAAGCGGGAGCCAGCAGGTGATACAGGGCCTACTCCCAGAGTGAGGCCTGGCCCGGAGCCTGGGGATGGTGCGCCAAAGCTAGACTTGCTTCTACTGGCCCCCCCGCCCCCCACACCGCCCTGTCCCCCTGGAGGGTGCAGCACAGGCCTGGGCCTGCTTTCCCTGAGCCAGACTCCCAGAGTGGAGGTTTAGATGCCCACCACTCTCGCACACCTGCTCAGTGCCCAGGGAGGACAGGGAGGCCTGACCACCACTGGAGCCCGGGTCCAGGGTCTGGGTCTGGTTAGGGCCCATTCCGAGGAGGACAGCTGGCCACAGCCTGCAGGGAAGTGGGCAGCCATGCCTGAGGCTGAGCTCTGTCCTGGGTCTGCCAGTCAGCTCCGTCAAGCCAGTCCATTTCCCTGTTGAGTATGGGAGCAAGGCCAGTCACACCTGTCATGCCTGTCAGAGGCATGCTGCTGCCATTGCCCACCCTCGCTGTCCTTCCCATGTCCCCGTGGGCAAGGCCCTCTGCGTTGGCCTTGCAGCTTCCTCACCGACCTGAGCATGCTGCTGTGTGATCCATGCAGTCACCTTGGATGGTCATTGTCGCTCGCAGCCCCATTGCTGGGCCTGAGTTCGTGCAGGGACGCTGTCCTGGGTCAGGTTCCCAGAGTGGCCAGAGCCAGGTCTCCTAAGTCACGGTGGGGGGAGGGGGGTCTTTCTTCTCTAGACTCTGGATGACACTTCCCGCCCCCCGCCCCCCCGGGCCGAGTGGAAGGAGAAACATCCTGGAGGGTGGAGCCCGCCCTGTTTTTTTCTTTTGCCACTGACCCCCAGTGTGACTCAGGCCCGAGGCTGCCTTTCTCTGCCGGAGGACGGAAAGGTTCAGTGACTGGCCCAGGGTCACACGTCCTGCCTCCCAGCCCTCCAGCCTTAGCCAGGAGTCCTGGGGTGGGCACACATGGGCTGTCAGAGCGGGGGGGCTGGCGCTGTAGGAGAGTACAGCAGGACTTCCGGCTGGCTGTCCCCTCCCCGCATGTGGCATGTCAGATGGGCTGATCGTCACTCTGTGCCCTCACACGGACCTCACCCCAGCCTCAGCTCCCGGTCAGGCTGGGTGGGGGCAGAGGGGCAGGTGGGCCGGGGTTGGGTCCTGGAGTTGGGTCTGGCTGTTGCCTCTCCTGCTGACTGGCGCTGTTGTGGTCCCTGCAGCTCTGGAATGACGAGGTGGACAAGGTGAGTTGGGCTCTGGGGTAGAGCGGTGTGGGCGGGGAGGCAGCCTCGGGCGGTGGTTTGGGTCTCCCCTCCAGTGCCTGGGGCACAGCTAGGCTCCGGGAGGCCTCTGCCGGTGCTCATTCCCCTGAGGGGTGCAGGGGTCTCCCATGTGGGCTCCAGCTTCTCTGGGAGTTGAGGTCTCGGGGGAGGTGACATCTGTGCAGGGGGCCCTGGCACAGGCAGCTGCCCAGCTCTCATGCTCTGCCCACCCTGCCCAGGCCGAGCAGGAGCTCCGTGTGGCCCAGACGGAGTTTGACCGGCAAGCCGAAGTGACCCGTCTCCTGCTAGAGGGCATCAGCAGCACGCACGTGAGTCTAGCATCACCCGAGAGCAGGGCATCACGGGGTGGCCTCGGAGCCGGGGCTGGCACTCTGAGGTCCTGGGAGGGTCAGGCAGGGCACATGGCCCACCTGGGCTGGAGGCTGGGGGGCAGCGCCAACCTCCCCCTCCTCCAGGTGAACCACCTTCGCTGCCTCCATGAGTTCGTCAAGTCACAGATGACCTACTATGCACAGTGCTACCGCCACATGCTGGACCTGCAGAAGCAGCTGGGCAGGTGTGGCCGGGTCCCCAAGTCCCCAGGTCCCCCAGCTCCCCACTCAGTACGTAGCCCAGCCCCTCCCATGGGCCTAGAAGCCCCACAACAAGGCCAGATGACAGGCCCTGCCTGAGGCCTGCCTGGCACCTCCCAGAGGATAGTGGCGGCCCTTGGGAACCTCCGAGCCCCTGGAATGCTTGGGGGAGGCTGGGAGGGACAGGGGCAGGGCCATCTCACTCCCACTTGCTTTGCTTTCCCTTGTGCTGCCAGCTCCCAGGCCGCCATGTAAGTAGTGGGCAGGGGACTCCTGGGCCTGGGAAGGCCCTGTCCGGGGTTATCTTTGGGGGCACAGCTTGTGCTTAGACACCCCCTTGCCTCCAGATTCCCCGGCACGTTTGTGGGCACCACAGAGCCTGCTTCCCCACCCCTGAGCACCACCTCACCCACCACCGCTGCGGCCACCATGCCCGTGGTGCCAACAGTGGCCAGCCTGGCCACTCCGGGAGAGGCCGCGCTCTGCCTAGAGGAGGTCTCACCCCCAGCCAGTGGGACCCGCAAGGCCCGGGTGCTCTACGACTACGAGGCAGCTGACAGCAGCGAGCTGGCCCTGCTGGCTGATGAGGTGGGCCTGGTGCCAGTAGGGGGTGGCCCAGGGCTGTGGTAGGCATCGGCAGACTCAAGACTGGGACCCCTGGCCTGTCAGAGGTCTGAGGAAGCAGCCAACCTGCCTATTCAGCAGGGCCAGGAGATGAACGCCCACCCCTGGGGTGTGGGCGACTGGCCAGGAAGATGGCAGCTGTGTCCCCACCTAGTCCTGGGGCCAGTTCCCCCCGGCCAGAGCATGACCTTCCCTTGCCACCCTCTCCACAGCTTATCACTGTCTACAGCCTGCCTGGCATGGACCCTGACTGGCTCATTGGCGAGAGAGGCAACAAGAAAGGGAAGGTGCCCGTCACCTACTTGGAACTGCTCAGCTAAGCAGGCCCTGGCACTCATCTGTTGGTGACAGATGCCCACAGCGGGGAGGCTAGCCCCATTCCGCCCATGCCCCCATCCTCCAGTGGTGAGGGAGCCTGAGAGGCCACAGGCCCCAGCCCCTCCGCCAGCCCTGCTTGACCTGTGGTTTGGAGCCCGGCCTCCTGCACCCCCACACACCCCAGCTCTCCTGGCCTCCTGGGAAGGGAGGGATGCAGTGCTGGTACCCAGATGGGCCCCAAGACCCATGGGGCACCCTTGGCAAGAAGAGAGCACCTGTCTTTTAGCTGCCAAAGGGTAAGGACCAGTGGCAAAGCAGGCGGGCTGTGGCAGCTTGGGCCTGGTGCTGCCCTGGGAGAGGACAGCCCAGCAAGAGACAGGTTGGCCCTGGAGCAGCGCCTGCCTGGTGCTACCCTTCCCCCTCCTCAGCTCAAGCCTTGCGTGGCCGCAGCCTTCACCTCTACACTCACTTTTTAACTGGTCTTTTTACTTCTGCCTGTCTGCTTGCTCTGGCCAACAGTGAATAATAAACCCTCCTTTGTGTGTGTGTTGCGTGGGCTCCCGTCAATCTCAAGACTGGGCACAGACAGCCCTGAAGTGGGGACAGGCAGACAGCAGTGACCCTGCTCCCCAGGTAGGGGTGGTGTAGGCATGGGGCACCCTGCCAGCCAGCCAGCTGCTCCTGGAGCACTAAGGTAGAGGGCAGGGAAAGTTCCCAGCCTCCCGCTCCCCACGAGCATTGTCTGCCACGGCAACATGGTCCCCAGTGTGTGAAGTGCACAGTACATTCCTAAGAATGACTTCCCAGTGTGGGGACTGGAGCCCAGCGCCCAAGTGGGAGTTGAAGGCCTGGACCCCAGCACACACCAGGGCACCCACACCTTACAGGAGGAAAGAAGGGGAGATGTCACCTCGTTCCTCAAGGTGCCACAGTTAGCAAGTGGCCAAGCTGAGCCTCAAGACCTGGCCAGCCTGCCTCTGCAACTGGGGCTTCTGGAGGGGGTGGCAGGACCTGAGCTAAAATACAAAGGAGAGCGGCCCAGAAAGGCTGCGCCCAGTGCCAGGCACAGCCAGCTGGACAAACAAGACCCAGCAAGCCAGGGAGGGCACGCCCAACAGCGTCCACTGGCTCTGCCTGCCCCTAGGCAGAGGGATGAAGGGCGCTGGTGTATACCCTCCCCTCCCCTGCCAAAGTGGCTCATCCATGGCTGAGAGCTGCTGGGTCTTCTGGGCTCTGAAAGTACATGCCACTCGTGTATAAACAGTATTTTAATATTTGTATAAATAGACCGCAGTATTACCAAAAAACTGCAAGAGATCCCGGAAACACCCAAACCCGCGGCCTCCCTGGCTGGCCAGTGCCGTGGGAATGCTCAAGGAAAGGAGCCGCCCTGGGGACCCCCGCTCCCCACCTCTGCTGTGGACCTCTTGATATAATACAAAAATAATGTCAGCAGCGGGTGGCTGGAGTGGTAGCGACCTGGGAGTGACAGCTGCTGGGAGCACAGCGCGCCCTGCCCGGGGCAGGCACCTATCTCTGCACGTGGCGGACGAAGGCCTGTACCAGCTGGATCAGGGGCTCCTGGCTCTCGGGGCTGGCTTTGGGGAGAGCAGTGGCCTTGCTCTGGGGCGAGGGCAGGACACCAGCAGCAGGGGAGCTGGGGGCTCCGCGGCGGAAGTAGCGTGACAGACTGGACAGCAGTGTGCTCTACAAGAGAAGAGGCAGCTTACTAAGGCCCTGCACCCCTGGGCCACTGTCGCCAACCCTAGGGGCTGGCAGGCGGGACCCTGTGGGGCTCTTTCCTTGCCAGCCTAGTCCTCCGTACCAGCTCAGAGCTGAGCTCCTGCTTCATCCGCTGTTTGTCCCGGGGGTGCACGGCCGGGTCCCTGAGGTACCGCATAGCCTGGGAGATGAGCAGGTAGAAGCAGTTTTCCATGGTGAACATCAGGAGGGACCTGGAGGAAGGGCAGGTTGGGCACCGCTCAGGGTGGAGCTGGCAGATGCAGGTGAGCGCCCTGCCAGGAAAAGAGGACCACAACTGCCTGGGCCTTATCCAGTCCCACACGGTCTTACTTCAGCGTTCTGGTTCCTTCTGCCTGGGAGCTGAGCCCCACAGCCTGCGTGAGTGGCTCCTTTTTCTTGTCCAGCTGGAAGGAGAGAACCAGGCAGTGAAAACCAGACAAGAACAAGGGCTCTCAGCTACTGAGATCTTCCTACTGAGCAGGCCCTGCACCAGGCAGTTCTCAACAGCTGCCTCGCCGACTCTGCACCCGTGAGTCCCCATCATATTCACTGGAAGGACAGGAACAGGACGGGGAGGCTGGGAAGTGGCAGGCTGAGGGGAGAGCAGGGCGGATACAGGGCCTCTGACAGCACCTGACTCACCTCTCCAAGCATGTTGAGGGCCACATTCACAGTGGCCAGGAGGGTCCCGAAGGAGGGGGCCACTTCGGAGTCAAAGGTGGGAGTAGTAAAGCTCAGGGCAAACAGGAAGTTGTATTCAGCAAGATCCAGCGACTGCAAGGTAAGGAAAGAGCACTCTGGGACCCCGCTATTACCCCAGGAGCTTCCCAGAGCCACACAGAACAACAGACAAGGCCAGCTACAGAGACCCTGGCAGTACATGGGGCTGGTACCTGGTCCAGGAGGATCTGACAGACGTCCGGGGTGAAGTGACGCAGGGCCGCTAGCGTCCTGCTGAGGATCTTGAGGAGGCCACACTGCACCATGTGCAAGGCTCGCTGCTCGGCAGATGCTGTGTCAGCAGTGGGCTGCTTGGAGGAGGAGGAGGAAGGGACCGCAGGAGCTGCGGTGGTGGTGGTGGGTGGTCGCTGAGCTCGAGGGGTGACGGCTGAGAGAAGGCCATCCCCGTTCTTGTTCTGGGGAGAGCCAGGAAATGAAGCAGGAGCCCAAGGAGCCCCAGTGAGGCATTCCAGGCAGTCCCCAGGGCAGAGCTGGTACCTGCAGATAGTGCTGGAGCATCTTGCGGCTGTGCAGGAGGGAGGTGCAGGCCTGGCACAGGTAGCCCAGGTTCACCTGGGACACACAGAGCAGGGATGGGGGATGTTCCTGGGGCAACCAAACAGGTCTCTCCAGGACCCCTGTGTTCCTGTCCCCACCAGTACCTCCTCCCGCCCACAGATGATGGAGCTTAACATCCTTACAGCCACTGCACAGGCTGGCTGGGCCCTGGGCCATTTCCCCAGGACCTGGCAACAGACCCGGCCTGATACAAAGCCTGAAGTAAGGAAGAAGGGCATTGCTAGCCCCCCATTACAGAACAAAGGCTGGAGGACAGGAGTCACTCAGCAGCACACAGCAGCAGCCCACTGGTCCCGAGAGGCTGTGCCCTTCCCGCCCAGGCCAGCCCTCTGGCTGACTCCCAGCTCAGGCCTGTTTCCAAGGGCTCCGAACCCAGGCTCTTAACCCACCAGGCCACCCTCACCACACCCTCACCACAGGAGTAAAGCTGTACACAGTGAGCAACCTGAGCCAAACGCTGTGCCCTCAGCAAAAGGCACATGTTCAGGAACAGGCTGCAGCTCACTGGGTACCTGGAGTCCCCAAGGCTGCCCCAGCCACCAGCTTCTATCTCCTCCAAGGCACTGCCTGAGGCCTCACCTGGATGTCGCACATGAGCTGAGGCAGGTGGAAGTGCCACTCCTTCCGGAACTGGGACAGCTGCAGGATGAAGCCCACAGTGTGATCGGCCTCCTCCAGGCAAGCCAGGCTCTGTACCGTCCTCACTGCATTGAGACACTGGGAGGATGGGATGGCAGGGAAGGATGGATGCCTTAGGGATGAGGCAGACCAGGTGAGGTCCTGGGGCCGCACATAGGTGACAGGACAGCAGTGGCCTGGGAGGGTCAGCCAGTGTCCTCAGAGCACCTCAGAGATGAGGGCCTCAGCACCCTCACCCGAAGTCCTTCAGCCCTGAGTAGCCTCGGGCCCTGGCCCCTGAGGCGGGCAGTCCTTACCTGCAAGGTCCGCTCCTGGTGGACACCCACAAAGTCCAGAGCCTCAGTCAGGAAGTTGTAGCGCAGCGTCTTCAGCAGCCGCTCCATCAAGGACATGGACAGGCGGTAGACCCCGGGCCAGGAGGGGGCATCCAGGGCCTTCCGAGAGGTGCTGGGCATCTGTGACAAACAGTAGATGAGCTCTAGTCCTGGTGCCAGTCCTGGTGCCACTGGCAGCCAGCTGATGGGACAGTAGGGCTTCCGGGCAGCTGGGGGAGGACAAACTCCTAGAGGGACGAAGTCAGTGATGTGGAGAGGGGACCAGGCGGAGGGACAAGATCCTGGGTCCCGGATTCTGGCAGCCACTAACTCATCTTGGATCTGCTCTGCTCGGAACCTTGGGTCCCCCTCCTACTGGGCGTGCCAGGCTCTATGGCAAATCTGAGACAGTCCCGAGGGAGAGGTTCTGGGGAAGGCTACTCTTTTGAAGTGAGGAGACAAAGGTGAAGCTAGAGGTAACCAGCATATCTGGAGCCCCAAGCACTCACACCACCCACTTCCCTCCTCTGGGTCCAGGCTGGGAGGACAGGAATGGAGAAATCATATGCACACAACATCCTTAGGGTGGAAACAAGGCCACCTGTCCTGGGCCTGAAGGACCTGTAACTGTCTAGTTTGTTCCCTCTAACACCTGTAACAGGAAAAGTTCACCCCATCTCCAAAGCTGGCATATGAGAACCAGGCGGTGCTTTTTGGGGGGCAGCAGGGGTGCTCAGGATGGATTCCAGGGCCTTATGCACACTAGGCATGAATTCAGGAGCCTTTCAATACAGAGTCCCAGAGGCTGGGGAGGATTCTGCACCCTCAGTGAGCTGCACAAGCCGTGGAGAGGACAGCGACCTCAAGCACAGCACAGTGAGGTGGGGCAGGCACGTCCCCCCGGGCCTGCAGCTGGTGAACACTGGCACTCACCTGCCCTGTGCCATTGGGGCTGAGCTGGTACACACTCAGGAGGGGCAGACAGATGCTCTGGGTGAGGCCGGCACCAGCTACTGCTGTGGCTCCCTAGGGCAGGACACAGGAGGAAATAGAGCCTGTTCCCGTGGTCAGCACCCCTGCTTTTGAGCACCAGAGCCCACCAGCTCAAGCCTGCGGCAGCCCTGGTCTTAGCTGGCCTCCTACCTGCTGGGTGCGAGCCAGGGTGAGGAGCAGGTGCAGTGCGGCCTCGGTGAAGTGCAGGTTCTGCTTCATGCGCAGGCTCACCTCCAGGGTGGTGAGCAGGGTGGGCAGGATGGGAAGCCTGCGGGTCACCTGCAGCCATGAGTCCCCGTCCTCATCCACCTCACACAGCTCCTTGGCCAGGTGTAGGCCCAGAACACACACCTGCTGGGGCCCAAGGGCAGACACGGGTTAAAAGAAAGGATGCTGGCCCAGGGATTTAGCTCAGTGATTCCACCGCCTGCCACTCAAAAGTGGAAGGACCCGAGTTCAATCCCTAGTACAAAAAAAAAAAAAAGAAAAGAAAAGAAAAGAAAGGATACAGACACGAGAAGAGGAGGAACAAGGGAACAGCCACCCAGGTCAATCTAC